TTGGTCAATTTTTGTTATAATGTTATCATGTTTTAAAAATATTTTCTATATTGCAATTGGGAAGCATATTTACTCTAACCTATTTTGAAAAATATAAAAATGATTAAATCCATTTTTGTCTGTTATTTCCTTCTGTTGCCGAAGTCACACATGGATTTAAAAAAATAATATGATTTGTATTTACAGATAAATAATTTTTGTAAAAAAAATATTGCTTTCTTTCGTTTTTACCTTTCGTTTTTCACTTTTTGATAAAGTCAATCGGATTTATAAAAGTACCCTGAGACTCATTATATATGCCTTCTGACCATTTCTCCGGGCATTATTAGGTTTTATTTAGTATTTATACAAATGGCGCATTATTTAATTAAAGGTTTCAATATTTGATGTCTATTTAATCAACATATTTGTTATTATTCTTCATATTTTAATTGATTAGGCAAATAAAATTGTACCATAATCTATTTTTTTTATTTTTCATTTTTTTTAAGAAACCAAATTACTGCATGGTAAAAGAGGAACATCAAGAAAATCCATAAGTAGAGAATAATAATTTAAAGGGTAAAAGTGACCATAAAATTAACATTGTGAACTCATATTTATATTATGTTTTGGATAAATTGAGTACATTTTTGATAAATTAAATTGGATAATTTAATAGAAACGATAGTGGTAACATAAAAGTAAAACGTTATGATGAACGTGATGCCTTTTAACTTTTCTATCATCCCACGCATGTAGCAATATAACCTCATCATTTGCAGATGGGATTTTTGTATCCCAGTTTGATGCGCAATAACATGCTCTGCGTACAAACAATTTCTAAAGAGAGGCAGGCTTTTAAAAAACAAGTTAATGAAACAAAGATAACAACAGCTTCGTCATCATTTTGCAAGTTCCATGGACGATACAATCACTTTGTCAGCAAATACACGTAAAATTTATCGTAAAGATAAATGCTGATTGACTTTATGTAATTTTAAAACCACCATTCACATTATACATTGTCAAAGTTTTTTTTCCTGTTTGCCTGATTAAGACAAAAAGCAAACGATGAGTATTACCTCTTAACAGAGGATGCTTACTCCTCCATGGCACCTGATCTCACCTCTACTGTCATTAGAGATTTGTTTTTTCTCTGCTCCCGATTTCTATTATTTGAAAGGACTTTTGAGCCCGACTATTGTACACTATCTTTATATTGCACGACAAAACGGCCATTCTGAAAATTCATCTCACACTTCAATTTCTATAAGTTTTTTTTCTTATTCTTATAATTTGCTCTGACTGAGGTGTTTTTTTATATTTGTTTGTCCTAAGGAAAACATCTGAACATTTTCCCCCAGTAAATGTTTCAACTCTTAAAGAGAAATTTTCTAATTGAATGTAATCTGATCATCCAGCCATCTGTGAGTGCCATTCAAAGCAATTCAAAGGAAAATATATAAGTATTTTATGGCATGTGGTAATTCCTGACTGGAGGCATCATTTTTAACACATTTGGCGCTATCAGTGTCCTCTGTATAAGGGTCACATAACGACCTGTGGATAAAAAATGATTGCATGCTAGACCCTGCTGCTTCCCTTATTCGGTACATATTTATATAAAGCGTGTCACTAAAAACCTATTATTCCTCTTTTTTGACGAATTAATTCTCTCGTTTCCTTTAATTAAAGACATTTTCTTCAATAAATAATCATCTTTTTTGAGAAGTCTTTAAATGCCACATAAAATGAAGAAAAGGTTTTTGTTGCAAAATTAATTCAGAACTAATCTTTGCCATAAATGTTTCTGTCCATTGTAGGGCTATGAAAGCCATGAAACAGGATCAGATGCTGTTATAAGGGCTCAGTTTTCCTACAGAGTACTTGACAGGTATTTAATAGACTATCTGTTTTAAATGCGGTCCCACCTGACTGTATCTTGTTTTGCTTTAATTAACCTAATCGTGTGATAACTGCATTCTCGTCTTTCCTCAGAACTTTTTCTGTATATATCTTTAAAAGAAGCCTAAAGCTGGAAATTCCTTGACAAAGAATGAGAAAATTTGAATATCTTATTTCAAGTTAAGTTGCTTTATAACAAATATTTTGTTTTTCTGATCCTTCAGAATAAGGGTATGACATTTCGGACCAATTAAGATAGCTAAGGATACAAAACAAAAACAAAATATTATTACATCGATCGAAATATATATTTGTGACTTATTTTGAAAAGAAATGGGTTGAATAATACTTTTCTAAAATATAAAGAAATCGTGCAATTTTCTTGATGTTATAACATGCGTGTTTGTGTCCGTTTCCTTATTTATGTGTACAAACTTTAGCAAACAATTTTTCATATTACCACAAAATCACAAATGTTCAAACTTACCGTGAAAAGCATTTTCAGGTTACCTTTTTTAAATATAAACTCAAAGACATTTTTCTGATTTCTTTGGGAAAAAAATCTGTGTTATGATCCTAAAAAAGAAACCGTAAAAGACATAATAAATACCTTGTTTACAAAAAGGTGCTAAAATGATATATAGAGTAAATTTATCTTGACTTATTTCGTGATATAATATTCACCAATTGCCTCCTTTACAGTTCCATGCTGTCATAATATTGTATCTGATTAATTATGGGCTTCAACCTTTGTATAAAAGCTCTACAAATGGGTGTTGCCATCCACAACTGATGTCTGCTATTTTTCGTAAAAAGTGGATAAGGGCAAGTAATATCTAATTAATAAGTAATGCTACACTTACGGTAAAATGTGGCATCTATTGTATATAGATATAATCACGGCATTCAGAGACATGAACCAAGTTAACCAATAAATATAATTAATTATTTATTTTTAATGAAAGAAAAAAAATTGTAATAGTTTAAGGTAATTTTACCATGTCATACGTCTTGAAATTAGGACAATCGTTAAATATACTAGTACTCAAACTATACAGAAAAGATACACAGTATGTTAAATATTTCTTTTGATTTTGTACAAAATTTTCGATTTATGTATATATCTTAAACGTTAGAGATATATTTTTCTATGTACAAGAAAGAAAAAATAAACTTACTAAATTATATAATGTGTTAAGTATTACATATTGTTTGGCACTTTTAATGATATATTTAATTTAAAAAAAACTTGAGATAATAGTGGTGGCAATACGAAAAGGAAGGGTATGATGGCATAAAGGCCGATTTTTATTATCTTTCCGGGTCACAATGCCAAAATTTCATACTACTATCAATAGAAATTTCTGTTAACAGCATTTTAAAAAATCACTTAGCCTAATGTTTAAAATATGAATTGTTTTATTAACTTCTATTTGCATATTTAGCTGTTTATGTTCAATTTGTGCACATTTGTTTTCAATTAAAAATCTTTTCTAACAATAAAAAGTCGGTTTTCTATCAATTAATGAATTGGGCGTTTATACGGTGGCATAAAAGGCTGTATTTGAATTTAATCCTCGATTTAAATCTGCGTGGTATAATTCATACAAAGCAGCAAAAGTCCATGAAAGTTGATAGGGAATTTATCGCCATAAAATAGAAATTTTCTTTATGTTTTATCTGATAATAAATGGAACTGATCTAATCATATTGTAAGATACCAACGTTTCCCATTAGAGAATCGATTTCAATGAGAAAGCACGTTTTGTTTTCCTCGATAAATTTAATGATTAATTATAAGTACTTATGTCATTGCTGTGCTCTAAGCCTTTGGAAAAAAGAATAAATTTATGAGATGGAAAACTGATCGACTTCGATATTTATATCAATTAAATTGGAGCGTAATATGATTTAATTTGTCATCGAATTATGCCTTATTAGGCCATATAATGAAACATTTGTATGGGGTTATTGACAGACGGATTTCGAAGCTACTCGCGTGTAATGAGGCGGGGTAATTAATGACTACTAGCATTCTCCGTAGCTACTGAATATTTGAATAATTTGAACATTATCAGAAAAGGCTATGATGTCGCATTTATTGGTGGTGCATTGTTTAAATATTGAAATATCCATGTGAATCATTTGATTTCTCACGCTGGGTAAAGATCATTGGAGATATGGTAAAATTTTGTTTTTAAAAAACTTCATTTCTAAAATGTTAGCTAAAACATTCCCTTGACATTCAAGTAATTATATCAACATGCATGATATCAGTCTCGGGGGAAAAATTACAGGGCAATTTAAATTAAAAGCGGGAAAATTACCAGTTTGAGATTACTTTTAAAACGACATGCAACCTTTTGTGGGAGTAATTTCATCGCTCTCATACCACCTAGTATGCTTCGAGATTACTTTTAGTATTGCCATAAGAACAAAACATCGCTTTCATGAATAGTAAAGTTTACAAATACAATTTCCATTTTGCTCTGCAAAGGTGACATCATTTAAGAATTCAAAAAGCAAATAATGGTTTTTTGCATGCACTTTTAGATGATTTATTCATAGGCTAGAATTGTCTTCTGAACAAATTAATAAACATACTTTGGTTAAAATTACTAAGGGAGAGACCAGGTATAATCTAAATATACTTTTTTTCGTGATATGATGCTATTGGCATATATTGTCTACATGTTGAATAAGGATAACAGTTATTCATATATTCTTTTTTTCAGACTAAAGTCAAAACTTTACTGTAACAATATCTATTATTCTTTTTATTCTATCTATTTTTAAATGTGTCAACACCGAACTGATTAGGATCAGGAATGCTACAAATCATTTTTTACTGTTCGAAACATTACATTTGTTAATTTGTTTCAAATGGTATTTCTGAAATACAATTGTTCGTCAATTCAACGTAGAGAATTCCACTGAAGTAGATGAAAACAATTTTTCGGTAGCATATTTGTTTAAAACATTATTTTGAGAATGAAATCTATTCAAACGAAAGTATCAAGGAAAATCCAATGATCGTTTAATTTTCAAAATGACAACAATCATAAAACAGCAGAAATATTTTAGTATTAAATGTAACAAATTTTATGGTCATATTTACAGTAGAAAATTGCAAAAAGGCATTAATGGCATGCTCACAACACAAACGCTATATATATTTGTATTTAGACTTCAATATCACTTTCATCTGATGAGGATTCAAACCTAGGTAGGTTTTGTTTGTCTGTTGGTGAATTCTTTTTTGAGTAATCTAACTTTTTGGAGTGTGACTTTGTCATGCCCTCTTCCGCCTTCACTCGTTTAAACTTTGTTCTTCTATTCTGAAACCACACTTTTACCTAAAATAATAAAAATAAAGTGTAACAATAAAAAAATCAAATATATCTTTCATTGCTTACTTTCAATAATAGGAAAGAAGTTAATGAAATCATTTACAAAAAAATCTATATTTGAACTATTTATCTTGCAAAGATATATTAAAGGCACCTTGATACTCTAAACGATGTTAATGTCAGCTTCAGGATTTCTTAAAATCTTTTAAAGTATTAGATTGTGATACATATTTAAAGCTCTCTCTCTCTCTCAAGCTCTCTCTCTGTCTCTCTCTCTCGTGGTTTATGCAAGAGTACATATGTCTAACCGTTCAAATAGTTTTTATTCAAAATTATGAAAATAATACGCAACTCGGAATAATCTTCATTCTAATCTTAGGGTATCAATGTTAATGCCCTTCTCGTGTGAACTGAACCTGGCCCCGAGTGACAGTCATTACGAGGTTAACTTGTCAGTAATGCAAAAAACAAAACTCCCTAATTTGGCAAATCTACTTGACCTTTAGCCTCTTATGGCTTATCTGGGCTAAACTTTTATTGTTTTCGAAACACTAAACGTGAAACACCCCACACAAGATGTCGTAGAATTATATTAATACAATCCATTAGCATTGTCAGTTTACGCCTCATTTCTTCCAATCAAATGCTGAGATGATATATACTGCGGTGCCGTGTACATTGACAGAACCCGTATGATACTGATCAGAAATGACAAGTACTGCATTGTTCAAATGTGCTATGTATTCCAGTCGGTTACACAAGAACAAGCACCCACAATATATTTTTGGGCTTATATCTATATTTCAAAAACTACAATATTCACATCTGATATTGAAAAAGATGTTGATACACTTCCGAAATTTAATTTTTTTTTTTTACCAAAGAATGTTTAAAAACGTATGTCTGGTGGAAGATTTTCCCTTAATTCAGACAATGAAGTCTTCATGAAACCTAGCGATATCAAATATGTTTTTGATTTTAAAAAATCAAGGTAAATAAAAAAGATTTTATTTTTGGAAACATGTATTATATACCAGAGAGTATAATGAGAGTATAGTGTTAGGGTTTTCTTAATTGCAAGTTTATTATGACATTGTTATATTTTTTCAAGTGTTTCAGGAAAATTTAAATTTGCCAATTTAGAGTTTTACGTTTTCATAAAAATGATTGCAAATTTTTTTTTAAGAAATTATAGAATAGAAATGTACCTAAATTTTCCTAGATTTTTTAATGCTTTTTTGCAGAATTTTAGGAGTAATTTTGAAAATCTTTTAGGTTCAACTTCTTATATTTTTTTCTAATATACTAATTGCCAGTACCTTCAGTATTGACAAAAGTACATTGACTTATTTTGACATTTTTTCTTGACATTCCTGTGTTAATGTATGAAAAAAAATAATGTTTTCATCATAATCTATTTTAGATTACATGACATATTAAAAATATTAAATACTAGAAGTAAATTAAAAAATAAACATATTTGATTAATAATGATCTTTCAGAAGTATTTATTTTTATTTGTTGCGTTTATATACAAAGGGAGCAAATTAATTTTTGCATTGTTGATTATCAAAATTTGCTATGGTAATAAATGTAAAGTTTTCGTTATTTTCACGAAATTAATCTATATTTTTTATTACCTGAACTTGCGATATATATGTAAAAACCTGAAATGCTAAAATCGACCAAATATATACAATTATGCTTCAAAGGTATATTTCCGTCAACAAGTCTTTGTATTTATTAAAATTATATCCCGTGTATTATAATTATGAGAGTGTGTGAAAATAATAATCTGTTAATTTCAACATAATAAGAACTTAAAATTTCTAATCAGCTGTGTTTTACTTTGTAGATGTTTTCAAATTGCATTTTTTACGATTTATATAGCGAATTACCACCATCACCATTAACATCTTGGCGATAATAAAAGGGAAAATAGTGGTCTGGCAAAATGCGTGAATATCTAAGAAAAACATTCTTATATTATAAGAATTTATCAAATCTTTTCAGAATTCCTAATTTTTTTGCAAACAACGATCAAAGGACAGTACCAAATGTATGCATATATATAATATATTCAGTAAAATACAACCCTTAGTGTTGATGTGATATTAGCAAAATTCTCAAATAGTTTTTCAAGCAGGAAAAAGATTCTGAGAAAATAGCAATAATTCAAAGAAAATTACTACAAACAAGTTATATCCGTTCGATTAGATTAACATGCTCAGTTGGAAAAAATTAGACCAAACGGTTTGAAAATTTTATCTTACTATCACTATCGAATATAAATATAAGTCCATCAAAGAATCTACATTGGATCAATCGCTTTTTAAGGAGTGATTCGTATCGGTTTCTAGCCAAATGAATATTCAAAGACTATCTGCATTTTAGTCATATATTGAGATGTAGGGAATTTTATGGAGCTTATTGTTCTTTCCTTCTCCATTGTTCTCTTAATTTTAAATATAAATAGTAAACTGAGTATGAAATCAAGCAAGGATTATATTTGCAGCGTATAAAATTTTCCCTTTCCTGAATCTTAAAATTACTAAGAACAAAAAATTAAATAGTATTTGTTAAACAATCAAAGATTAAAAGAAATTTTCTGAGATGACTGAAATCAATCCATATGGAGTAGAGTTTTAAAATATATCAAATAATTTGACTTTCTAAACAAACCTTAATCTTGGAAGCTCTTGTAAACTTCAAATCTAAGAAGAATTTTGGGGAAAAAAGAGAGAGAAAATTGATTTAATTCAGGGTCAAGAGAGAGAGAGAGAAAAATTTAAATGTACGAAATGTTTAAAAATAACTTAAGGATTTCAATGCCTAATGGGACCAAATTCTCTACCCTTAAATGTCCGTCAAGTACACAATACTCTGATATTATATTAAAGCATTTTATAGTGGAAAAGGATTAAAGTTTATTAATTAAGCAGTAGTTAATTAACAAAGATTGCATTGAAGTCTATGGGGAAAAGCGTTTTTTCTAAATAAAAATTCAAATAATTTGAATATCCTTTTGCATTGAAATATTAAAAATCACCATTTTTTTTAATTGTTTTTTTTATTAATTAAAAAAGGGGAGATAACTCTTAACAAAATTCAAGGTCATGAATTAGGACACATCCCACCAAACATACTTATAGTAATAAATGGGAAACATTTTAATGCCTACATAAATGTTTAAAAATTTCTTCCTATTACTCAATTCCATAATTGTTTTTAGAAAAATAGAGAAAATTAAGATAAGCCTACATATTTATTTTGGTTTCATTATTTCTCTTACTTTAGTAATCTTACCTGAAAATACTATATGGTGAGATTTTTCTATGCAAAAAGGAAAATATTCAATATTGTTATATAGAGGTGGGCGTCATTTTATTGGTAAGGGTAATTTTTTTAATTCTTAAGGTCAAGGATAATGACATCAACCTGACCTTGCCCCCAATATGATTCGAATATAATTTTATTAATACTATCATTCTGTGATATTTTTGTTTGAATCTGTGATTTAATTTTTTAAATACAACAGGATGTCTCTTCAGTCATTAAAATCTTAATTTACCTGTGTTTCACTAAGTCTCAGGTTACGAGCCAGATCCTTTCTTTCCTGTCCTACCACATAATGGTTTTTCTCAAAGGCGTGTTCCAGCTGTAGAAGCTGCGTGGGAGAGAAAGCGGTCCGAATCCTCTTAGACTTCCGCAAATTTGGAATCAAAAACGACGGATCTAAATTAAAAAAAATAATATTCTTGAAAATAAAAACTTGAAATAAACATCATTTGAAAAAAAATGTTTATTAGAATATCTTAAAACTCTTTGATGATCAATTCCTTTTATCATTTCTTTATACTTGGATTCAATTTATCATAAGCTAAGATATTGGAAATCTGTTTTGTTTTTTTTCTATAATAAGATAAAGATTTCTTATATTTTCTGTCAATAAATTTGAAAGAAAATCTTTAAAAATGATTTCATTATAATTTTTGGTGTTTACTATTATTGAAAGCCCCTCTTTATATATTTCATTGCGTAATGCAAGAGCATTTATACTCACAATTCGCTCTTATTTTTATTGATCAGTTTATTGAAGAGAAACAGAAAAGTTGTAATCCGGTATTTTAAAGTTGGTATAGTGAAGAAATTTAGGAAATATCTGTGATTTTGAGACCAATTTAACAAGGTTATTATCAAGCAATGAATGACAAAAAATTAACCTTACAATAGTTCTGCATTAATACATGTAAACAAGACAAAGTACCTTTCAATTATGGTTTGTTAAACTATTTCTAAAAATTGAAAATCTCAGATTTGCTTGATTCAAAACCACTTTCCTTTTCATTTCAATCTATTATTCAACATGGAACACTTTAAATAGAAGAGAAATAATAAAATTTAGTTTAAAAAAAAATAGCTGGACGAAAAAAAACATGGTAGAAATAAATGTTCAGTTAATTTTTTTCGTAATCTATTTTTTGAAATAATTATTAAAGGCAAACAGAGAAGCTCTTACCTATACACCGTGTCAGTGCTCCGTGGTGAGTAGGGGGGTATGGCCACGAGGAGACTTGACCCTGAAAGCGATGAGGCATCCAGTGTCTAATGGGAAACTGTCCCAAATGTTCACTCTGTCTTCCCAAAAGTAAATCCCTGTGACGATCAAAAATTAAGTTACCTGAACTATAGTCATTTTCAACTGCTTTTTTATCTGAAAAACACAAATTGTCTACTCTTGCAGGTTTAGAAATTGGAAACAAAATGCTTTCATTGTAGAATTTGTAAGAGTCCTTGTTCCTTTTATTCACAGCTTCATGGGAACCTTTTGTCTGCTTCTCAGTATCAACATTTGTAATTTTTCCATTTTCTTCGGGAAATATGTTTCTTGTCTTTGATGCCAAGAAGTGAATTTATAGAAAACTCGGTAGATTTAGAAGACAACATTCTTTATTCTGAGCAGAGTTACACAGTATATCCAAATTCTCCGTTATATCAGCAAAATGAATGAAATGAAATCACATTATTTTCAACATTTTTAGAACACATATCCTTTGTTAGTTCATAAATATACTCTAATACATCAAAAAGTAACATGAAATCAAAATTATTGGTAGAAAATACCAAGCACAAATTGACGGGTATTAATTATTGCACTTTGTCAAGCCCTCTGCTTTGGGTCACCGGCGAATGACAAAATCCCTTTACCCTATCGCCTCGTGTGGTTTAGATGATTTGACTAAACGGCGGGATATTAATAGTCAAAACATCCCCTCCCTCTGCAGTTAATATGAAAGTTTGGAGAATTTTAAAAGTCGACCATTGTTAAAGTCCCATGATATTAATTGTATACAGACACGCAGGCTTTTGACATTTTCATTTAATTTTAATTGCTTGATAATTTATTGGTAAAATTATGCTTTTAAATACCTGACATTAAAAAGAATACAAATAACCCCAATACATTCATTTTGTTCATAATAGCTTTTTGAGGGTAATCTCACAGACTATATATTATAGCTTAATGTGTAATCTTATACAAAGAGGATCCCTAATGTAGCCCACGATTTTTATACCCAAGAATGCACCGACAAGTACCTTGTAAATGAAGCCGGTGATAAATTTCGCATGAATGAAATATAAACACCATGCTACACATATCACGGACTAATTCCTACCAATTAAAGGATAATTTTGATGTAGAGTATTTGTACGTTCTCATTTAAATCACATCAGTGAGGTAGATTTTTAACAGATAAAATTTCATATTATAGTAAGAACTTCAATGGTCGACAAAATAATTATAATGAAAACGAAGGTAAACAATAGATTTTGAAAATATTTATTTTTAATTATTTTTTTTTTATTTACAAAAATGAAATAAAATATTGATATATTTTCCAAAAATACTAAAAATAGTATAATGGTTCTTTTTTAACAGAGAAAATGAATTTTTTGGTGGACATAAATATGATGGAATATCAGGTGGGAAATGCATGATATGAATAAGCAACACCTACCAAACACATCAAAGCGTGGAGACTGGAGACAGTTTTCTACATTTGACATTTATTTTAAAGGATAAGGGAATGAGTAAATAAAATTCACAGAAAGAGCAATTATTTTGATTTATCACTATCCCCATAACGTGAAGTTTCTTATCAACTTGACAAGTACTAAATATCAAAGTTCAAAACATTTGTTTTTACTAACAGTTTATATAAGAGATTTTTATATAATTTTTTGTATGTTATGCAAACAAAGATAACCTTATGGATCACTGATCATTAATCAAAATAGCATCCTTTTAGGAGGTCAAGGTTTAATGGAACCTCATTTGACATCTTTCTTACATAATTTTTTTAAAACATCTAGATAAAAGAATAATACCGGTGTTACATATTCATAATAATAAAAAATAACATCACTTTAAAAAAAACATAAAGAATAACAATACTTATTTATAAAAAGTAGTATAAAATCAAATTAATAGAGCTTTTTTTGATTATTCAATATTCAATGCATTTTATCAATCCTGAAAATGTCTTCTATTTTTGTTTTGGAAGACAGAGCTAGCTAGCACAAAATATAGAATTTGTTAATTCTTAATAGATCATTCGTGCTTTTGTCTGAAAATGGCAAACAGTAAATAAAGCTCACGGGTCCTTTGGAACAGGTAAGAATTTGAGCACAGCAAATACAGACCTCTAAAATCATCAGGGGTTTGATCATGGAGGAGTAAGCATCTTTTGTCCTCAGAGTGTCCTCAGACGATACCCGTAGTGTGCTCTTGTAATAATCAGACAATATAAAAATCCTTAGACAATTTAAGTTGAAAAAAAATTGTCTAAAAATGTATATGAAGAATGCCAGTGAAGTTAACGGTAGACTCAATTTGCTAACAAGCTCATCATATCAACCATAAAATTGCAAAGTGTTGCCTTTAAACGAGACTATTGGTAACTTATATATCAAGACCTTGCCTCGTTGAAGTTGTTCGTTCGCAGAAAATGATCCTGTGTACCGAATCAGTTTGGAGACATTATCTTCATATACATTTGGTTATACGGTATATTGCTGCATAAACAGGAATTTGCATGACGATAGAAAATTCAAAGTCAAAATCAGTTCTGAATTTGAAAGCGTGCAAATCCAGACGAGTATCTGGAGTCGATGAAAGCCATAGGCACCTGACGTTAGTTATTCTTCTTGTGTATTATTAGGTATGGGGTTATTTTTTTTCATATAAGATAAGTAACGTCAGGTGCCTGTGATGAAAGTGACAGAAAAGAAAACCGTTTTGTTTTTATTTGGGACTTTTACTTTGGATGTTAAAGTTAAAATTATTTTAGATAAATCGATTGTTCTTGTGTTCAAAGATAAATCTCATGCAATTTCATTAAATTATTAATACCTTAAAACAAATTGAAATGAAAAGATATAAAACTTTATACTGACTGATTTTTTTCCTGTCTCTTGAGTAACTTTATATTATCTTTTTTCCCTAAAATAATCCTCTTTTAAAAGAAGGTTATTGTTTACAGGTAGTATAATTGCTTGTAAGAAGCAGTTTTTTTCCTGGTAACTATATAGTTGTAGCAAGAAATATTTTATTTTTTGTCTTAAAAAAGAGTTGAAACTCATTCAGGAAAAAATCTGTGGTCTTCTGGGAGTGTTGGGCCTAGAAATGTGTGTTCGGAGTGCTTTAATTGTTAAGTTGTTTAAACATTTCATTATCTCTATCACTAGAGTTCTGGCAATATCATAATCACGTTGACTTTGATATGGATATGTCTGTGGTGCTCATATAATGCAAAGTGCCTTAAGCATTAATGACTGTGCAAATCTAACCCTTCTTTAATAGGTACAACTTCGGTCCTGATGTCAAGATTTCTCAATCGATTTTAAATTACGTTAAGTATCTTAAATAGGGACCGCTTTGTTTATCGTCATTAGTTCTCATTTGAAAATGATCACGGTACTAACCGTACACTTGACACACAGGAATCACTGCAGGGTTCGAGCCAATCATTAGCCCAGGCAAGTCTTGTCGAAGAAGGCTAAAGATGGCTAACATCAAACCAATTATGTTTCCTTAAAAGAACATTAGAAACACTAATTATCTGTCCGTCTACCGGGGCTTAATTTTCAGCAAAGACGTGGAATTTGATCCGTAAGAACAACATAGGGAACAGAAGACTGAACAAAGTCAACTACAAGTGGTGATAAATTGATAGCTTTGATGGCCCATGGTTAATATCGCATTAGTCATGTTTCTAAATAGTTTCAGCTAAACAGTGTCAAGTGCAGGCCGTGAAAACAACACAGGGAATCCATGTCTGACAATTCATCTTCCTGATTTTGTCCACCCCTAATGATCTTCTGATTTGAGGATTATTACAGGGAACAGAGGTGTTAAAGACATGTCAATGAATATCGACAGAGTAAAGACCGAGATATTAACAGGCATATCAATACTTTAAAGCCAAGATAGGATATCAGTATTGAAAAAATAATTTTCTAACGCAGGATACATAACAAAAAATTTTAACTTTCAATATGTCTCTCCAAGAAATAGCTTTTGACAATGAATCACTCTTCATTATCTTAACCTATAATAATTTTCACTGGCGGAGGGCCAGGGCCCCGAGTTTTTGTCCAAAATATACATAAGATTTAATAAATCAATTTTTTGTGTGGTTTTGTCCCTGACCCCAATCCTCGAAAACTTCCTTTTTAAATAATCAACGAAAATTGATGCCACCACTGAAAATTATGAACAAAAATTTGACAAGTGATTGATATAAATAAAATTTCAACAACTTAGTTCAAAGTCGCCATTTTGTAAATTCTTTGAACCCTTAGCAAATGTAACCTATCTTTTAATCCTATTTTTGGCTTTGTTGTTTCATTGTGTCCTACCAATAAGGGCTTTATTTTTGCAAAGAATTTTACAACTGAATGTTCCGTATACATTGGGACTAAGCGCCGGTGTGACCGTGCAACAGGGGATGCTTACTCCTCCTAGACGCCTGATCCCACTTTGCCATTCCAGAGGTCCTCGGTACCTTTGACAGCAATAAGAGATATTTTTCGTGCCAGCATCTACTGCGACACTGGGCCTCGGTTTACAAGGACTCATCCGAAGAACCGATCTCTACGACCCGCAGTGATTCGAACCCGCGACGTACATGTAAGGATCTATTCCTTACTCTACAACTCCAATGAAATTTATCATTACGATCAGTATTCAAACTCAAACGTCAATTCAAACAAAACAAATCAGAAGTAGAGCAAACAGACCCCTAAAACATCAGAGGTGGGGTCAGATCTAATGGAAGTGTAACATTCCCTGCCGACCGGTCACGCCCGTCGTGTAATATAGGAAAAGTCCGTCGACAATGCAGTGTGTAAATGATGGCCTAACAATAAGTTTGAAAAATTGTCAGTCACCATTTGGCTTAATGATAAATTGTATTTGGATAGAACTTACGAAATTATGATTTGATATTCTTGCTTCAGCAATTTGTTACTCTATAACATACCTCGTTCTAGAAATTGTTTATACGTAAAGTATGCTCTTATGTATGGAATCAAAACCCCATGATTAAGTATAAGCCCATGCAATATGCAGGTGATAGGAGGTGTATTGCTGCATAAGTAACCGAAGTTGACGATTGAAAAGTTAAAGACATCTGGTTTATCATCAAGTTTTTTAGTTAGATTACCATTAATAGTTCTTTTAATTACTAGTAAATATCCAAATATGAGACAGATATTTAAGATTCCGTGATATCTTTTATTTCAATCTCAGATATATTGTGACGAAATATGAATGGAAATAACTATTGTAAATTGATAACACGTCGTCGAAATAAATATCGAGTTGAAGGCTAAAAGAATCCTTTATATTTTTTTTAATAAATTCTGCTTTGTATGAATACAAAAATAGGTCTGCTAATAACAAGGCTTAATTGTTACCCATAGGAATTCCAACAAGTCGTTGGAAGACATGGGCTCCAAAAACCAATTAGATATTAACAATCATAAACTTCAGAGGCATCTTTTTAATACCAACTTCAGAGTACTGAGAAATATATGGAAAAAACGAACAGTATTCAAGTTCAAAATTCAACTACACAATACAATATAGGAGCAGAGCAAACACGGACCTCCAAGACATCAGAGGTGGGACAATCAGAACGTTTTTAA